GTTCAGTGTTAAGGAAGAGAAAAGAATCTAAAAGTAGACTAAAACTTAGATAAATAAAACGAGTTAGCAGTAGAGAGTCTGGATTTCTGGAAGGGGCATGAACTGGATTTCAGAGATTGCTAAGCTTGTGATAAGTAGACTGAAATTTGATCTTGTGTTGGTTTTGTGGTATGTGGATTTGAAAGTTTTGATCAATGTGGCGTTCCTACTGTTTAGCTAACTGTTTCTGTTTTCAAACCTCGACCATGTTCTGATGTTTGCTTGAGGGAAAGAAAAAGCTAAGTCTGGGGGAGTTGATATATCATGGTTTTTATGATTTTTAACTATGGTATAAGTCCTTTATATTGAGTCTTTTTGGTCTTTTCAGAGTTTTGGTAGAGTCTTTTCAGGGTACAACATGACTGGAGCACAATTGTAGATTTTGAAACTTTTTGGATCATTGCAAGAACCATCCCCGAAGTTAGCAAGTTAGAAGCCGTTGTCATGCACCGACGACGATCATCACCACTCAAGGGTGATGCTCGTCACCCACATCTGAGAGGAGTCGCGATGTTTTATTAAAAGATGGAGAAGATATTGCACTTTGGACCCAAAAGTTTTATTATTTGCAAAAAGGCCCTAGCTTGTGTTTTAGCTTGTAGATTAGGTTTTTCAGACATTGTTGGCTTGAGTCTTATATCTTTTAATGCAGTTTTATTTAGCTATGCCTTGTGTTTTCATAATCATGTCTGAGTAATCTGTTAGTTAAGTTAGGATTATTCAAAGGTTGATGAAGATTTTGTTGAATTGCTAAACTACTAGGAAATTCATTGGTTCTTCATATGTGCTTGCATTCACATCGATTTAAGTGACTATAAACAAGCGCACTTGGGAGACAATCCCATGGTATCCTTGTATCTAGTTTTGCATTTTTATGTTTTTTTATGTTTCTGTGGGTGTTTTTAGTGTCCCTGGTAACCAGGTTCAAGCTGAGGGAAGAGGAGCCAAGCTTGGAAGAAGGAAGGAGGCGCAGAAGGGTCAATATCGACCAGCATATCGACCAATACACGTCGATACAGTTCATATCGTGCAGTGTATCGAGCATATCTTGCTCTATACTGGTGTGCTGGACTTATATCGACGTGTGTATCAGGCTGATACTGATCAATACATATGAGAGGATATTGTATCGATCAGCATACCGGGGTAAGGCAAACCGATACGCCTTAACATGCAATGTATCGAGGTAAAAACACTTCGATGTGCGTAAACTGGCACCCATATCGAGCATATGTATCAAGGTGCCAGGTCGATACAACACCAAAAGATGCATATAGAGCAACATATCGACGTAGCATGTCGATATGCTTTATCTGAGAGGATAAGGGGAGATTAATCGCCCTTGTTAGGGCATATTGATGCTATGTATCGACGTCCCATACCAGTACACCTTGACTAGAAAACGCATAAGTGTTATTTGGCATAAGTCAAGGAGTATCGAGCATAATATCGAGGTACCAGTCCGATACAAAATATTGCATGATCATACCGAGCTACATATCGAGCTGTCTTGCTCGATATTGGACAATCTGGGATCGATATCAAACCGTGTATCGACATGTTAGGGACCGATATCAAGCATGCAGGGGAAATATCGACATGTGTATCGACCGATACAAGAGCCCAGCCACCGATATCGACATGCATATCAACAAAACCAATTCTATATGATCAATATTGATTAGCATATCGACTTGGGTGATCGATATTGCACCCAAGGCACTCCTTGTCCCTTTGCTCCCCACAAAAAAATTCTCCAACACTCTATATAAACTAACCCCAACCTTCTCTCCCTCTCACTTTCATTTTTCTAGCTTAAAACCACAAATTTCAAAATAGTTTCTTAAGTATCTAAGAGACCCAAACCACTTTAGGTACTGTTTCTTAGCTTTTTTGCATGTTTAAATTTTGTCTTTGCACTTAAGAACTGAATTTGTTTAAGTAGTTGCAAGCTTGTTTAATGATTGTTGCTTCTTAGTTAGCTTCTTTTTTTGCATGGTGAAAATTGTTTTTGACTTTTGAAGCACTTTAGGTTAATAGTTATTTGCTTGTCAGATGCATTTATAAATCTTTGCATTAGCATTTATTAACCATTTGTTTAGCTTCACCATGCTATGATTCATGTTTTTCAATTTCTAGATAATTTTTGTTTAAAGAATCCTTTGCATGGTTGGCCTATTTAGTTGCTTCACAACTGATAGAGGTTTATTTCTAAGTAATTAAACTCCTCCTCTTGTAATTTAGCAACATTAGGCTTTGTCTTTTGTTCATTCCTTGGTTCTGATTTCTCTTTTGAGAATTTTGTTTTATGTACAATGGGAAGAACAACATGAAGTGGAGCACACAAAGAGATTGAGAAGCAAGAGAAAGCCAAAGGAAAGGCTAAAGAGGTGTCGAGTCCAAGCGCTAAGGCTTAAGGCAAAAAGAAGGTGGATGCTGGCGCTAGTGAGAAGGATGCCACTAAGAAGAAAAGCACCACTCCAGCTCAAAGGCAGCTGTATGACAAGCTGCAAACTGTGGATGTGAGACCAACAAGATATCCACATGCACCAACTCTAAAGGCCTTGGGAATCTTTGAGGATTGCTCTTCTATGTTGGAAACTATGGAGCTCACAAAGCTGGTGGGAACTCCTGGCTCAGCCAACAAAGACCAGGTGCTTCAATTCTCTGCCACCTTTGAAGTCACCTTCTATGAGCCTGGAGAGGAGACACCAGAAGAGGATGGTGCTGGCTTCATCACCTTCAGAGTTTCAAAGCGCAGCTATAGGATGTCCTTCTCAGCCATAGAAGATGCCTTTGGATTCTCATATGGCAGCTCTAGAGGACAAAATCTGGGAATTGGCTAAATGGAGATGAAAAGCCTTTGGGAGCATGTGGCTAAGGGCGCTTATAAGCCAGGAAGAAGCAAGACTTCTTTGATCAGACATCCAGCAATCAGATATGTGCACAAGGCATTGGCGCATACCCTCTTCGCAAGGAAAGAAAGTGGCGCTGTTGAGGGTGGAGAATGGGAGCTTATTGGTCAGAGTTTGATCAACATCCTTGACTACACAAGGCAAGGAGTGGAGCTCAAAGGAACAGATGGGAGAACTTGCATGGTCACCATCTTCATGCAGCAACTTTTGGTCATCAAACATTGCCTATCAACTAATGCTGATAAGGCGCCAAAGCTCTATGGTGCAGGTCTTATTATCGCATTGATGGAAGCTGCAGAAGTTCAAAGTGGACCAGAAACAGTTAAGGTGGAGTATCTAGGCTTGCCATATCTGAACAAAGCAAGGTTCCTTGGAGAGAATGTGGGTGACAAGTTCATCAACAATTTCATCCAAAAAGATAGACTAGCGAGATGTTGGAGCACAAGCTTCATGCGGCAGAGCACCGTGAACGCGGTCTCGCAAATAGGACTAGCGAGCTTCAGGCCGAACTGCTCGTGATCCAGGACCAACTTGCTGAGGCACAAAATTTTGCCCGGGGGAGGATCTGAGCACGGAGGTGAAGCGCCTGACGGCGGCATTGGCCGACAACCAACAGAACTTGGAGACCCGAAACTTTAAGGTGTGAATGCTCCACGAGACATGGCGGTGCACCGGGGGTTCACTCTTGGGCCGATACGGACCTCGCGCTGAGGCCGAGACTTTTACAAACAACCAGCCAACGATCTGCTTGCTTAGGCGGGAGCTCGAGGAGGAGTGTCGGCGAAACAGGTCATGGGGGACGGATGCTTTAGTGGCAGCAATAGGCGCTGGAGGCGCGGGCCCTTCTTCACTGGTGGAATTTTTACGCCCGTCGGGTTTTTAAATTAAACAACTCTTTTCAGGGGACTTCTGTTCATTGTAAAATGTAACACTCGCACTCTGGACCGGTGGCCGCTTTTCGTATTTTCTTTTTTAATGCACTTCAAGTTTTTTGTTGCACATCTTCGTTTTATGCGTTCTTTTCATACTTCTGCTTTATTTCGGAAACCTGACTCCTTGACTCTGGGGATAGTACGCGCGATGGTCTCGGAATCTCAAGTCTTTTTTAGCAGAGTCATGGCTCGAGGGCCTTATACGTCTTTCGTGTGGTCAAGCCGTGTAGACAACTTCTTTCGTGGAACGTTCGCCGGTAATCCCCCCTCTTTCTAATGCCAATTGTTTGGAAGCAAATTTCAGGATGCCACGTGGGGGTGTGTGATTCGTCCGGCGAGTGGAGCCGTGCCTTCGAGTTTCGTCCTCTTAGGAAAGGCGACGAGACGTTCTAGGGCGGAAGCTGGTTCGGATCCCGTCAATCGGACAGCAGACGAGTCTGGCTCTGCAAGCACTACACAAAAGGTCAATCGGGCCTCTGGAAAGACCGAAAAGGGGTTTTCCTCCCAAAAGTTCTCCGACGCCTAAGTCAATGAACGCCTTACCGGAAAAAAGTACTCAGGAGAGTGTTTCTCTACGGGTTTGGGGTGAGAAATCTTATCCGGAGATTGAGACATCTATCTGTTTGTAAATGTTTCAAAGGGGTTCTATATTGAAAGGAGAAGGTTTAGCGATACGATTGGACTCCTTCTCCTTAGCTTGGGTTCCCAGTAGAGTCTGATCCGCCTCTCCCATCTGCCTCTCCCATCTGCCTCTCCCATCTGCCTCTCCCATCCGCCTCATTTCGTGTAAAGATCTTTCCTCTTTTATACTGACTATCTCTATGTTATGTCCTCTCTATTCAGCGCGCCAGAAGTGCATATAGACTAATGATTCATATATGTTTAGAAAAACGTGCCAAATGCCCAGAAACAATATGCAGAAGTTATTCGGCCGAATTAGTATAATTTGTATCAGTGTCTAAGACAATTTGATGTCTACATGTCGTGTTCTTTTTTGGGATGGTAAAATCTGTCCCAGTTACAATAAGTTTAGAAGTTTAGAAAATTCAACTGAACCGACGTTAAGCAGGTAGTTTGGAAGATTCGGGTGCTGAGTGTCTCGCGGGTTGTAATAGTCAGAACTCTATTTCAATAATATATCTTGTCTTTCTTTTCCTTTTTTTCAATTTCGTCGTTACCGTCACCTAATAGAAAACATATTGCAAAAAAAAGAAAATAACAAAATAACATGATTTTCTCGAGACGGGAAAAAATCAGAACACGAATCTTCAAAGTTTTTACATAATATCTTCCATGAGATTGTTACCACGTCCCAAATCGTCTAGACAAACACTTTCTTTGACCTCTGAGTCTTTCTTTGATATGGTTATCTGAAGCACAGAAAAAGTACTTTCTTGTTGATATAATTGATTCAAGATACTGTACAGTCAAGTCAAAGCTACAAGATCATGTTTCCAGGTTTGGTCTTCTCTCGCTTAACTTTTCCGGGTTTCTCCAAATTACTCTGCCATTCAAGTTCTGGTCAAAAGTTTTTGGCCTTCACAATTTTCATTTCGTTTTCTTGGAGACCTTTCAATTCAGAAATTGAGGTTTTAGGGTTTTTGCTGGATCTTTGCTAAGGTTAGTAGGAATTGAGCAAAAAGGGTTTCAAGAATTGAACCAGGCCTTAAGTTTAAATGTTGGATGCTTTCTCAAGCTGAGATTTTTTTCCTTGTACAGGTTTTATCTATTGCCGATTTAGGGGAAATCTCATATACTGAGGTTTATGAATGGCTTATTGAGGCCGAGTCTTTCCTATTGAGTATTTTGTGTATAAAACTCATCAATTATGGGTGAAGGTGATTTGAGCTTTACAAGATCGGTGTTTACTGCTTTATTGTGTTTGTTAATGTTATCGCATCCAAATGAAACTTCTGCGTCATCATCCTTTGTGGGCTCAAGCATTTGTCAGTCTGATCACTTAATCTACACGAAGCCTTATCAAAAAGGGGTTTTGTTCACAATTAATGGAAATCCGGTAGATAGAGTCCGCTTTTGCGAAGCCATACGGTTTCACAAAGCCAAAGGTTGTATCCTTGGGGGCTCTTTTAGAGGCGACTTATGCACAGCTCACTCTCTACTAGGTATGCTCTCTCAGAGAATCTTGTGTTACTTTGATCGATTACGCCAGTTTATAGATACTTTGTTTGTTATGGAAGCTCTTAAAGTTACCATATTTTTGTTATGTGCTTCTGCTTTTATGCAGGGAGAAGGTTTCTGGAAGAAAAATCTGTAGATGATTCCCAAAATATTGAGTCTGAATCTGAAGATCAACATGTTAAAGTCACCTTGGCGGCAAGCGGGTTTCTTCTCTTTTGTTGTGGGATCTGTTGTCCCTGCTTTCATAAGGAGAGGAAAGCAAATAGTCACGAAGTACTACCTAAGGAATCTAACTCAGGTGACTAAAGTATCTCACATTTATCTTCACATAGCAGAGTTTGGTTAATTTGCATAGAGCAAGAATGGCTTGGCTCAAATTTTTTACTTGCAACTTCTAGTTTCAGTTGAGTTGGTCACTTGATCTACGCCTTCTCCTTTACATCATAGACTTAGGGAAAAACATTTGATACTTCGTATAATGCATTGTTCAGACCCCTAAGATTGAAGTTTCTGCTTTGTTTCCAGAGTTCTTTTGTTAAATACTAGTTTGTGGAATAACATTTGACATCGAGGCTCATGTATCTTATCACAGTGCACCAAGTTTCCTTTGAAATGAGCCCTTCTTCTGATAAGATTCCGCCAAGTCCATTCCGGTCACCACCAAGTCCGTCCCGCGTACCTCAAAGCCCATCGAGATATGCAATGTCCCCAAGACCTAGTAGGATGGGACCATTGAATCTGACCATGAGTCAGATTACGGCAGCAACCGATAGTTTCGCAGACAGTAATCAAATTGGTGAAGGAGGCTTTGGGATAGTCTATAAAGGCATTCTAGATGACGGCCAGGTTGTTGCCATTAAACGAGCAAAAAAGGTACATCGATATTTCTTCAGTTTCAGTTTTCTTGTAATATCATAATCTGTATTGTACTTTATTCCATCAAGCCCTATATTGGTCTTTATTTATAGTACCTTTACATGATCAACAAGAAATAGTTGGGCTTGTAGTGATAAGACATACATAGTTTCGACTTTCGACATCCACTATCTTTGAGGTTTAGTCTTTGTGAGCGTAATGGTGTTTTTGTGACCCCCCAAGATTAGGACTCGAACTAGAGATCTCTCAGGGAGATATTCTAGAGGAAACAAATGGAGCTAACAATTTTTGTGTTTAATATTGAAGATAAAGATCTAGACTCTTTTGTAAATAGAAGTCTTGGAAGAAAATATCTCCATCTGATCATTTGAAGCACAACACAATCTGGAACTAATGAGCAAGAAACTTCTCAAGTGTTTTTGAGTTCTAGATTGTGATTTTTCATGCAGGAACACTTTGAGAATCTGCGAAAGGAATTCAAAAGTGAAGTTGATCTTTTGTCTAAAATCGGCCATCGAAATCTGGTAAAGCTTCTTGGTTATGTTGATAAAGGAGACGAGCGACTTATCATAACCGAGTATGTCAGAAACGGTACACTCCGGGAGCACTTGGATGGTAAGAATCTATTCACATGCACTGGAGCTTGTCACGGCTAGAAGAACAATATGAATAAACTAATAAAACCTCCCCATTTGTAACTGCAGGTGTTCATGGAAGCATACTCAATTTCAATCAGAGGTTGGAGATTGTGATCGATGTTTGCCATGGATTGACTTATCTCCATTCTTATGCAGGTAGAGACACTGTTATGCGTAATTATTGTTTGCCTTGTCATAAAGGAAAGTGTTCTCGAAAATTACAAGATTGACTTGAACATATACTTACTGTTATTTCGAAACTTAACAATTGTGTAGCATACTGAAATATACTCAAATGTTAAGTATATATGTTCAAGTCGATCTTGTAATCTCCAATATCTCTTAACAAAATGATTAAACGTTGTAAGGACTTTCTTTGAGATATTTTCTATTCTTTTGTTTCTAAAACAGAAAGACAGATAATCCACCGTGACATAAAATCCTCCAACATTCTTCTCACGGATAGCATGAGAGCCAAAGTGGCAGACTTTGGTTTTGCAAGAGGTGGTCCAGCTGACTCTAACCAGACCCACATTTTGACCCAAGTGAAAGGAACAGTTGGTTATCTCGATCCCGAGTACATGCGGACTTATCAACTCACCGCGAAAAGCGATGTTTACTCGTTCGGGATCTTGCTTGTGGAGATACTCACTGGCCGTCGCCCAGTGGAAGCCAAGAAACCTCATGATGAGAGGATTACAGTTCGATGGGTAAGCTACTTAAACTCGAATCCCCTGTTAGTCGAAATTTGCTCGCAGTTTCAAAATTCTGGCGGGTTCGTTGACAGGCATTCGACATGTACAATGAAGGGAAATTGTTTGAACTAGTGGATCCAAAGGCGAGGGAACGAGTAGATGAGAAGATACTAAAGAAGATGTTCAGTTTAGCGTTTCAGTGTGCTGCTCCTACACGAAAAGAGAGACCAGACATGGAAGCTGTTGGGAAGCAGCTTTGGGCTATAAGATCATATCTCAGGCGGTCAATGGAATAAAGAAAAGTAATTGCTTTTCACACGTTACAGCACTACTGCAATAGTCTCTGTTGTGTTGTTGGATGATATACCTCTTTTACATTTTGCTATCAGACCATTTCTTATCCACTGCCCCACTGGCTTTATTCGGAGAGTATATTGACATGAAATTAGATACCTGAAGATTCTCGCACAAGCCCATGAGCAGGTAGTAGATGTTGATTTCTGAAGATGTAAACTCTATATACGTTAATCTATCTATTACTAATAAAAGTTGATCCTAAATGCCTCTAAGGGTGTTCATATATGATTTAAAGATTCAATTATATTGGTACATATCATCATTATTTTTAGTTAATTATATATTATTTTTAGTTAATTATATATTGTATATTAAAATTAATTAATTCGTTTTAATTGTTATAAAGAAAATTTCTAATTTTTAATTAATTTTGTCTTTGTTATTATTTGAAAATTTTCTAAATTTTAAGTTAGTTATTAATAAAAAAGAGTTTTGAAAATAAATTTTATTTTTCTATTAATAATAAAAAGGTAAATTAACATATAAATAAATTATAAAAGAAAAATCATATATATTGAACAAAATTATCACAAACTGTGATTAAAACCATAATTAAATTATTTTAAAATTTTAATCACGACAAACAATTAAAATCTGAACTGCTAATTTAAAATATATTAGTTGTGGTCTTAGGTCAATGAAAGCGTCCACATATGACATATATACTCAATCTGATTAGTCTATATTAGCGTTTTTCATTAAACATAAAAAAAATATTATTAATAATTTAAATAAATTAAAACATAAAAAAATATAAAATTATCACAATAGAATAAAAAGTTAAGATAATTTTTTTAACTAAATAAAATAAATTTATGTCAAAAGTCTAAATCTATTGTGAAAATAAAATGAAAACTCATTGTAACAAAAACTAAACTAACAAAAACAAATATGTAAATCAATAGCGAAAAGGTTAAAAGTAAAATTTTTTTTTAGTATATATATTTTAAATGAGTAATTTATTTAGAAAAATATTAAGATTAAATTTTCATATAAACATATAAAATTGTTATTTAAAAATATCAATACTACCAAACAAATATTCATCTTAAATTATCAAAAAAGAAAGTCATCTAAAACTTATAATTTTGGGGGAAATATTTAAAAGATTTAACACAAAAATTTTAACAAACCAAAAATGATACTTTATGCTAATTATTGAAGAAAGCAATATAAAAAATGTTTAACGAACAAAAACCAAAACATAAACTATTTATTACAACATGTCAATACAATTAAAGTAAAAGTTTATCTCGAAAAAGTTAAATTAACATAAAAAGAGGATATTAACTTAATATCTATGTTATTTATTTAAAAAAATCAATATAAACAGAATAAGTAAGAGAATAAAAAACTTAAATAATACTAATAAACCTAACTAACAAAAATAATATAAATATTTAAGCTAATTATTTAAGTAATCAATATTAAGAAATTAATTAACTAAAATATTATTTTTTTAAAAAAAAAATACTTAAAAATATATTGACTTGATATCTGACAAACTACTTAAAAAATTATATAAAAATATTTAACTAAAAAAAAATTATGTCTTCAAAATATTGTGTTAAAATAAAATAAAAATCAATATCAAGAGAGGTAAATTATCAAAGAAAATACGTATAAAGTAAAATTAGCTTGATATTTAGACCAACTACCAAACAAATAATAACTAAAAAAAACAAATGATGGTATCAGCTTTTGAGAGAAGTTCACTTAAAATTTAGAATAACCAGTTATAGCATGCCAAAATAGCATTTTAATTAAATTTAAAAGTAAATTTAACAAAGAAAAATCATTTATGTAAAAGATATTAGATTAATATATATGCTACCTATTTGAAAAATCAATAACAAAAGAGATTAATTAAAAATATATATGTTTTAAGTATATCAAACCTGCAGAAAATTAGATAATTAAAATAAAATATAAAATTACCATTGAAGATATTTAAAATAACAAAAAATAAGATCTTAGAAGAAAATTAGTTTTAAATATAATTCCAAAAACATTCATGATTTCTAAAATATTGGTATTAACTATGAATAACCATATAAAGTTTTAATAGGTTATACAAGTTTCTAAATCAAACATATTATTTAAGTTTACCAAGATTAATACATTGGTTGCATCTGGTTGAAAAATTAACAAAGTAAAATACTACACAAGTAACTTTACATTCAAATTATAATAAGTAATAAAGTCTGATTTGTATACATATTTACTGCTTATAGCTTAGTCAACATGAACAACACATGAGCAACATCCTATAAAATTTTATTTAAATAATAAAATATGACAAAGTTATTAATCAAATTCAAATGAGAATATACAAAGATAAAATATTCAAATCAAAACATGAATAAATACATAACAGATAAAAAAAAAACAGTGATAGTGTGAAGTCTCAACATCATCTTACATGTTTAAAAACAAATATTAGCAAATAGTTGACAGCAAATAAAACAGATCTTATAAACTGAATAGAGTTATAACCTAAGCTTCGTATAAGATCTGGTGGAGAAGCAAAAAGCAGTTTTACACGATACGTGTAGCTTACTAACAAAAGTAAATCTGAATCAACATATATCATATATTATATATGTATATGTACACAACATTAGTGAGACATTTAGTAAAGAACCTAAATATTTAAACATATAAACCTTTTAAAAAAAAGAACCACAGAAATCCTAAGGATACAAAAACAAAACATCAAAAATTTAGTAAGAAAAACATTTTCTAAATCAAACATATACACATCGAAGTTGGATAATTTGTTAGGTGTCATTACTATGATTTTACTTAATAAGATTTATAATTTTATAAACAAAAATAGAAAATACTACATATTATGTTTTATTTTTTTATATAAAAGAAATTTTCTACAAATGTATTATAGTTTTGATAATTTAAAGATCTTAGCCAAAAAAATAAACAAAATTATTAATACAGACTTGCGCGTAGCGCGAGTTAAAAGCCTAGTAATATATAAAAGTTGATGGCATACTGCACTGAAGGCCTCCACATGGGATTAAAAAACTCAATCTGATTGGTCCACATCAGCATATTCATTAAATAAAAAAAATGTTAAGTATGATTAGGACGGAAAACATGATTTAATTGGTCAACATCAGCTTTTTAATCAAATCAAAAATTGTTAAGTATAATTAAAACATTAAAAGTTAATTTAACAAATTAGGTCCAACAAAAAAATAAATTAATACAAATCAACATATTTATTAAATCAGAAAATATTAATGTGGTTTAAAAATTTAAAAGTTAAATAAAAAAAATCTACAACAACTCAATTTAACAATTAAAACAATGAAAACTGAATAAAAATATGACATAAAACTTTTGGAAGACATGGTGGAGAAGGAAAAAATGGTTTTGCATGTCATTACAACTTCCTAACAAAATTAAATGCGAATCAACATGAATTATGGATCAAACACGACGTTCGTCCCATCGCCTCGAGACAAGAAGCTTCCGCCCCAGAACGACGACTCACCACTTTTCCCCCAGAGGACGGAACTCGGAGGCTCAGCTCCAACCCCGACGACGAATCACCCCCCTCCCCCCCCCCCCCCCCCCCCCCCGCTCCGACGTGGCACCCCGAAATTTTCTCCCGAACAGTTGGTGCTAGATGGAGGGAGGATCACTGGCGAACGTTCCACGAAGGAAGCGAGGCACTTGAAGTTAGCTGCCCAAAGTGTGCGGGTCGAGCAGGCTACAGTTCTGCTCAACCGTCTCGAGACTTCGGGACCATTGCGCGTATTGGCCACAAAACCGAGACTTCGGGACCATTACACGTATTGGCCACGAAACCGAGACTCTGGATCCGCAAAGCAGAGTAAAACACAAAAGTGCAAGAGACGAAGATAGGCGAAGTAAATTGAAGTGCGATTCTTAAAAAGAGAAAGAATGCCAAAAGCGGCTACCGGTTCAAGTTCGAAGATGAAATTTACAAAGGGAACGAGTCCCCAATACAAAAGATAATCGAAAAATCCGGCGGACGCAAAGGTCCCGCCGACGAAGAAGTGCCCGCGCCTCTAGCCACCCCGAAGTATCTGGCCCTGCGATCTGCCGCGTCTCCTTTCTTCCTCGCGCTCCCGCGGGAGCATGCAGATCGTAGTTTGGCTCGTCGAGAAAGCCTCAGCCGCCATCAGCACTAAGTCCACCTCGACCCCCAGAGCGAACCCTTGGTACACCGTGAGGGTTTGGCGGAGTGTCTTCACTTCCGAATTGCGGGCTTCCAAATCCCGTTGGCTTTCCATAAGCGCCAAGGTCAGGCGTTCCATCTCAGTTCTGAGATCCCCCCCGGGCGGAAGTCTGGGCTTCGGCGAGTTGATCCCAGGTCACCAGGAGTTTGGCCTGAAGCTCGCTGGCCCTATCAGCAAGGCCGTGCTCGCGATGTTCAGTCGTGTGGAGCTCGTGTTCCAACTTCTCGAGCGAGCGCTGACTCTGTCAGAGGGCGAAATAAATTGGTAAGGCAAAAGCTGAAAGAGCAAGGGAAGACGTCTTTAAAAAGTGGTTTACCGCATCCAGCGACTGGGTAAGCTCCAAGGCGGTTAGCCGCCAACCGGTGAGCTCGCGGGTTGAGCGAGCGGTCGGGCGAGGGGGCACAAACATCGGCTCCGACTCCGAGGAAACGTTCATTGCCTTCGGAGAGCCTGGGGCGGTAGGGAGCGGAGTAGCTGCTCGCGCGGCACTGGACCTTTTGACGGTCCCCTGGTACTCCGGAACGTCGGAATCTACAGGAGCCCCACCACTGGCAGTTGAGGCCGACTCAAAGGAGTAGTGAGCGGGAAGGGCCGAAGAAGGACCCGGAAACCACGTCGTCCTCACCACGTTTGGACAGGCGTCCTCCGGGCGGCCCGTAGAAGCAGGCGACCGTCGAGGAACCTGGAACCTGCGAAGACAGGACTCACGAGTGAGAATGGAGAAACCAGCACAGAACCAAGGACGGAAGAGTAAGAGTCACTACTTGAGACATCTGGGGTCATACGGAACAGGAGGACGAGCGAACTCGCCCCAATGCTTGGCGGAGAGAGCAGGAAGTCGAACGATCGGAACCGTTCAGGTATCCCAAGACGGCGGTGTAGATCGACCCGCTCAGAGGCCGCCGGCGCCGGCGTCGCGAAGCCTGAGAAAGAAAAATCGGGACAGCGATGCGAGGATGGTCGGCAGACTAAACTCGAAAGAAAAAGGGGCAGCGGTAGTAGAAAAATCGAACCCT